AAAAATATATTTTTTTCGATTTTTTTATCGAAAAGCTATGGAAGACCGGTAGAAAACCAAAACGTCAAAAAAACCCAGAAAAAAACTGTTTAAAAAGCCGAAAACGCGTGCGAAAAAAAATCCGAAAGAAGTGCCCAGAGCGCGACACATAGCAAATGGCTGAGAGCGCGCCAAGTGGCGCTGATCCGTGCGGGGCTTCCGAAGGAGGGCTCGTTAATTAGTTGCTCCCTTCTAAAACCCTCTTTTTTTAGAAGCGGTGACCGGCCAAGTGGACCGGCCCATTTGCGCTGTCCTTCAGCGAAAGCTTCCTCGTTTGACGCCTACGTTGCCTCAAAAAAAAAAGGAGCTCTCGTTCTAGTCCTCCAGCTGAAAAGCTTGTCGGCCATGGCAGTGGCCGCCTCTCCATCTCTCACTCTTCCTCCATCCGCGCAGCGCGCCACCCCAAAGCCGCGCGGCCGCACGCCGCCGCGAGACGTGGTCTCATGGACGTCCGCCATCGCGCGCCCGGCGCGGGAGGGCGACCTGCCGGCGACGGCCGCGGCGCTCTCCGCCATGCTCTCCTCCCCCGCCGCGCCTGCGCCCAACGACGTCACGCTCCTCACCGTCATCTCCGCCTGCGCCGGCGCCCCCTCTTCCCCGCTCGCTCGCCCCCTCGCGCTATCTCTCCACGCCCTCGCCATCAAGCTGTTCCCCGGCCACCTCCTCCTCTGCACCTGCCTCGCGCGGTTCTACCTCGCGTCCCGCCTCCCCCACCACGCCCTCCAGCTCTTCGGCTTCATGCCTGTCAGGTCCGTGGTCACCTACAACACCATGATCACCGGTCTCATGCGCAACGGCCTCGTCGCCGCCGCGCGCCAGGTGTTCGACGGAATGCCGGACCCGGATAAGGTCTCCTGGACGGCGCTCATCGACGGGTGCGTCAAGAACGGGCGCCACGACGAGGCGATCTGCTGCTTCCATGCCATGCTGCTGGACGGCGTCGAGCCAGACTACGTCACGCTGGTAGCTGCTATCTCCGCGTGCGCTGAGGTTGGCGCGCTCGGTCTTGGTATGTGGGCGCACCGGTTCGTGACCAGGCAGAGGCTGGAGGGCAACATCCGCATCACCAACTCGTTGATGGACATGTACGCTCGGTGCGGTCAGGTGGAGTTTGCACGGCAGGTGTTTGACAGCATGAGGAAGCGGACGGTGGTCTCGTGGAACTCGATGATCGTCGGGTTCGCAGCCAATGGACGGTGCACGGACGCCATCGAGCATTTCGAGGCAATGCGGAGGAAGGGGTTCAAGCCGGACGCTGTGACGTTCACGGGCGTGCTCACGGCCTGCAGCCATGCCGGTCTCACGGACGAGGGACTGAGGTACTATGATGCCATGAGGGTGGAGCACGGAATCGCAGCGAGGATGGAGCACTACGGGTGTGTGGTCAACCTTCTTGGCCGGGCCGGGCGCCTGGAGGAGGCCTTGAGCGTGGTGGTGACCATGCCGATGCGGCCAAACGAGGTGGTGCTGGGAGCTCTGCTCGCTGGGTGCCGGATGCACGGAGACGTGGACATGGCCGAGCAGCTGATGCAATACCTCGTCGAGCAGGACCCCGGCGGCGACTCGAACTACGTGCTGCTGTCGAACATCTATGCCGCTGTCGGGAAATGGGAAGGCGCAGGCAAGGTCCGGAGCCTGATGAAATCCCGGGGAGTCAAGAAGAGGCCTGGCCGGAGCGCCGTGGAGATCAACGGCGACGTGCATGAGTTTGTCTGCGGAGATCAGTCTCATCCGCAGGCTGCTGAGGTGTTCGACATGCTTGGCCTGCTGAGCCATGAGATGGCAGGGCGTGAGGCCGTGAGTTATGAATGAGCACTGGAATGCAGAAGACAGAAGCTGATGTTGTTGCGACTCCCGTTGCATGTACAGTCTCGGGAAGAGGCACCCAGTATGTACAGTAATACAGATACAGGTGATGAGATGGATCTTTTCCATCGACAGATGATAAGTATTAGCGTAAAGGTGGTAATGTGGCACCCATTCGCTGCGATGATGTTGCCCTCGAGGATATCATCATGCCCTTCACTGCCATCCAAACTACCTTCCCTATGAGATACCTTGGGCTGCCCCTATCGGTCAGGAGACTTCGGAGAATCCACTTTCAACATTTGGAAGACAAGGTGGCTGGAAAACTCACTCCTTGGCTTGGCAGACATGTTGCGTCGCCGGATCGCATTGTTCTTGTCAAGGTGGTCCTCACTGCTATAACAATCTACCACCTCACTCCTCTGGATCTACCAGTCGAGGTCATCAAGGCAATTGACAGTATTAGACGTGCTTATCTTTGGGCGGGATGTGAAAAGGTCACCGGTGGGAAATGCAAAATTAATTAGGAGACGGTGTGCAAGCCCAAGTTATATGGTGGATTGGGCGTCCTCAACTTGCAAAAGTTTGCTACCGCTCTCCGCTCGCGATGGCTTTGGTTTGAGTGGGCTAACCCCACTAAACCTTGGATTGGCATGGGCACGCCATGCACTGACGATGATAGAAATCCTTTTGCGGCTGCCACTCGTGTTACCATTGGTGATGGTTATCGGGCCACTTTCTGGGAATCACCTTGGGTGGACGGTATTCGCCCCAAGGATATTGCTCCAAAGATCTTTGATCTCTCCAGGAAGAAAAGAAGCTCCGTTCGCTCGAGTCTCACAGACAACGCTTGGGTCCGCAACATTGATACCTCTCAGGGCCTCACTTTTGAGCATATTGAGCAATTCGTCACCCTTTGGGAGAAGCTCTCCAATGTCATTCTAACCCCTGGAGTTGACGATGCAATTATTTGGAAGTTCACTAAAGATGGGGTATACTCCGCGTCTTCTGCATACAATGCTCAGTTTGAGGGTCACACCGCCTCTGCCATGATCACTACTGTTTGGAAAGCTTGGTGCAAATTTTCCGCTTGGTTGATTATTCATAATAGAGTGTGGACCGCCAATAGATTGCAGCATCGGGATGGCCGAATTGCAACCTTTGCCCTCTTTGCAAGCAGGTTCAGGAGACCGCGGCTCACCTCCTCTTCCAGTGTCGGTTCACAGTGAGAGTGTGGACGGAGATCAAGACTTGGCTTGGCCTCCACGACATTGATCCTCAGATTGGAGACTCGTGCCCTCGGTGGAAGTTTGTTCGGACATGATTGCTCACAAAAGGGGCCACTCGCGCATGGTTCGTAGCACTTTGATGATGCTTGTTGCGTGGAAAATTTGGAACGAACGCAACGCGAGGGTTTTCCGCAACACCGCCGCCCATACTACCATTGTTATTGCCAAGATTAAAGATGAGGCCTCTATTTGGGCTCGTGCGGGTGCGAAGTATTTGTGTAATATTATGCGGCGAGAGTGATCTGTACTCTCCCGCTTGGTGGAACTATGTCTAATCTTCTTCTTAATTAATGAAAATGGCAAATCTTTGCCTTGTTTCAAAAAAAAAAACATACACGACTTTATCTTTTTCTCGCCTATATATAACTATGGTGACCTCCAACAGCTAGATAAGTAAGAAGAGAACACGGCGCAAACATATACATCTAGTTAGAAAATTACACCCAAACAAGCATTTCCCTGGTTCACACTGCAAGAGAAACAAAAAGACCTTCTCCATAGGTTGGTTTGGAAAAAAAGAAATGTTAGGAATGAGCGACACCAGAAAGGCAGAAATAGTTTCTTTGTACACAGCTGCTGTTTGGGGTCATGCCTTAATCACGAAGTCAACGATCAGATGTATTTGGAGCAAGACGAAAAGGATCATGAGGCAAAACTTTGGATTACCGCGAGGGCTAAGCATTTGAGCAAGATCATGCCGCGAGAGTAATTCCGTATGTAATTTTCCTTTGACGGGCTATGTTGTGGAGCCGCTGATATGTACCCTAAACCCCTTTATTAATGAATGAATTGCCTCGGTTTCAAAGAAAAAAAGACGAAAAGAACCAACAGTAGATTAGAAATTTGTTGTATCTTCAGTTCTTTGGTCACTCATTGTTACTCCAGTTGCATGTACAGTATCATGAAAACTGAAAAGAATCCAACATGTACAGTAATACAGTACGTGATGAGATGAATCTTTTGATGAGCAAGCCAGAAGTAGCACGGCAGATCTTCTAAGAAAATATACATACATGGCCGCGTATGAGCATCTGGTGGTATATATGACATAAACACTGAAATTCTGGGGCTTCTGTGCTAGAAACAGATTGTATTTCCATAGGAACTGAACTGTACAGGTATGGAGCAAGGTCACAGTGAAATACTCCCTCCGTTCCAAAATAAGTGCCGCCTGCCTGCCGTGGTTTTAGTTCAAATTACTTATTTTGGAACGGAGGGAGTAGTCAACAACATGGACAATACGATCAGTTTGCATTGGCAACAGAATGTGAACTGTACAGGTATGTAAACACGGTCGGAAAGTGGACTGTTGTGGGAGCACTTGGCACTCCACACTGCACATCTTTCATTCCACTCTGAGACTAGGCTACGAGCTCCATGAGAAACAAATCCTATCAGCCAACAAGGTACTCCCTCCGTTCGGAATTACTTGTCACACATTCATTTCTTGGATGAGTAATTCCGAACGGAGGGAGTACCTCTTAAGTAAACTATATCTCACTCATATTGCAGAGCTACCTTTCAACTGAATGCCGATAGGTGCTCCTCATGTTGGAAGCTAGCTATCTCAATGTTGGAATCTCCGGGAAACAATTAAAGCGGGAGCGTGAACAAGGAACACTTTTGGGCTGTAGGATCATCTTCACTCCCCGGTATCACCCACACCTTTCCACATGCGAAATTAAAACCTATACATAGCAATAGAGACAAGTCACTATGTTTGCAGTGAAACCAACTCAATCTTTTAACGAGTGAGTTAGAACTTAGAAGAGATGAAAGCACCCACATTTCTTGATGAGGAAAAGGACGAAAGACTTACCAGCTTATGTACAAGCAAATGTGTTAGCAATATGTACAGCGCACGCCTTAATGTTGCAGTGGTCTCTTCACAAAAGGGTGCTCCAACAGCTGAGCAGCAGATGGCCGGTCCTTTTGGTTTGCTTGAACACACTTTGCTATGAAATCCCGTGCATCTTCTGATAACGTATTGGGGATTTTTGGTGGTATTCCCCTACCAATTTTGAGCAAAGCATGTGTCTACATGGCAGGGGAGAAGATTGAATCACAGACAGTAACTATACACAACTCTGGTATTAAGAAAATCACAAGATCCAAATACAGGGAATGGGTTCGCTACTTGTATCTATGCATTTCTGATTTCCCTAATAAGTACTCCCTCCGTAAACAAATATAAGAGCGTTTAGATCACTAGTCTTTACAGAGGGAGTACATCAAAATAGAAAACAGCAATATAGCGGCTGATTTTTTGGGGGTGCCCACTATGCATTATGATACTTGCGCATACAAATATCATGGAATTCATAGTCCCTCCCACTAGGAAGATAGCCCTTGATCATTCCATTTTTAAAATTTAGCTTAGTATCCAGTATACCAGCGCATTTAAATTACATGTCTTGCAGTATTTAAAACTTAGATGCTGTTCCAGAAAACTAAGGTGACAGAATACGCACCCATTCCATATCAGGGTATGGAACTTTGCCGGTCAGCATCTCCAAAACTGTGCAGCCAAGACTCCATATATCTGCTGGAGGTCCATGTGGCTTAGCCTTAGCAACCTGAATAAGAGCATACCATCACAAGACGTACACAGTTGGTACAGCAATAAAATATTGCTTAAAATTTGATAGACCAAACTTAATCCAATAACCTTTCATGGCAAACAAGAGTAACAAGCTTTTATTTATGTTACACAACTACAAGTATTTAGAGTCACACTCTATCTTACAGTGTTTAGCTCTAAACCATTTCTCAGTTACAACTCACTGTGTGGAGTTTTAAACTCTAAACTCATCAAGTATGCTACTTATTGATAGGATCTGGGATCCTACCAGGTCTAGCTCTTAGGTTGTAGGGGTGGAAGGGGGCTTGGCGAGGAGGAAGGAGAGGTCGCCGGCGCTGGGGCGCCTCGTCACGTGTGCGAGAGAGAGAGAGAGGGAGCAGGGCGCGGCGGCTAGGGTTAGGTCTCCCGGCTCCTTTCATGAAGCCGAGCAAATATGATTGCTTCTGCTTAATCCCAAAACGGGTCCTTACACGAGTTTATATAATCCTCCTAATAAGATAATTGGGCTAAGCCCCTAATAACGATAAGATAAACTGGGCCACAACTAACTGGGCTAAGCCCCTAATATGCCGGTCATAACATCTCTCCCCGCCTGCACAAACAGCTCGTCCTCGAGCTGGAAGGCGGGGCAGATCAACGGTTGCCAAACACCTCCGCGTCAACTAGGGCGGGCTGGTCGCCGAGCCCGGCGGCGGCGGGGTCCTCCTCAATGTAGTCTGCAGCCTCCAGGTAGAAGAGTCGTGGGCAGACGTGGCCCGGTACGTAGGGCTCGTCGCAGTTGAAGCACAACCCTTGGCGGCGACGCTCGAGTTGCTCGGCAGGGGTGATCCGGCGGAACGGACGTGTCGCAGCCGCGGCGAGGGGCGCCGCGGAAGCCTGGGCAGGCCGACCCTACGCGGGAACTTCCGGCCAGGGTGGCGGCCCAGCGGCCCGAGGCGGTGGCGCCTGCTGGATGGCCACCGTGCAACGCTCGAACGCGCGGGTGTAGTACATGGCCGTCTGGAGGTCCTGTGGCCCGCGCATCTCCACGTCCACGCGAATGTGGTTCGGTAGGCCACCGACGAAGAGCTCAGCCCGCTGACGAGCCGAAACGCCGGGGGCGTGGCACGCCAGTGCCTGGAAGCGGTCGGCGAAGTCTTGCACCGAGGTGAGGAATGGAAGACGCCCAAGCTCCGCCAGACGGCTCCCGCGTATAGGCGGACCGAAGCGCAAGAGGCACAATTCACGTAAGCACTCCCATGGTGGCATGTCGCCCTCATCCTGTTCGAGGGCGTAGTACCACGTTTGCGCGACTCCTCGAAGATGATACGAGGCAATCCAGGTGTGGTCGGACGCGAGCGTGCGCTGTCCCCTAAAAAACTGGTCACATTGGTTGAGCCAATTCAGGGAGTCGACGGTGCCGTCGTAGGTCGCGAACTCCAGCTTGGAGAATCTCGGCGGCGTCTGGACGTGGACGATGGGCGGGTGCGCCTCGTCAGCACGGCGCAGCGAGGATGACGGGGCCGAGTAGGCGGGCATCAGGGTGCCGCCCTGGAACAGGGGCCCGTCGACGCTGGCGAAGGGCTCGGCGTAGCCCGAGGACCCGCCAAACTGCATGGCCGGGAGCGTAGTCGGCGGAGGCAGCACGTGCGGCCCGACCGAGGCCGTCGTGTAGACCGACGCAAGGGACCCGGCGAGCCAGGCCGGTAACGGAGACAGCGACGGGGGAAACCGGACCTGGTGGATGGGCACCCTCGGGCCCGTCATCGGGATGCCCAGGGCCGCGGTCGCCGGTGGCGGCGGCTGCAGCTGTTGCCCCTGCTGCATGGTGGAGGCGCCGGGGTTCGTCGCTGGTGGCGGCTGCCACGGCAGCTGCTGCATGGCGGCGGTAATGGGGGTCGCCAAGGACGGCGGCTGCTGCGGCGGCGGGGCGGTGGCGAAGGGCATAGGCGGCTGCAGCCCATAGGATCTCGCGAGGAATGTGTAGATGCCCGTGACCGCCTAGGTGAGATCCCGGATGGCAGCCGTCATCTCCTCCGGGGTGAAGATGACGGGGATGGGCGCGGCGGAGGTGACCGGCACCGGCAAGAGCGGGGCGCTGGCCGTGGTGGCCATCGGGTCGGTTGTCGCGGTCGGCAGCGGAAGGGTCTGGGTGGGCGGCGGCGAGGACATGATCGCACCGAAGCTATCTGATACCAGATTGGTAGGATCTGGGGATCCTACCAGGTCTAGCTCTTAGGTTGTAGGGGTGGAAGGGGGCTTGGCGAGGAGGAAGGCGAGGTTGCCGCCGCTGGGGCGCCGTCATCACATGTGCGCGCGCGAGAGAGAGAGGGAGCAGGACGCGGCGGCTAGGGTTAGGTCTCCCGGCTCCCTTCAGGAAGCCGAGCAAATATGATTGCTTCTGCTTAATCTCAAAACAGGTCCTCACACGAGTTTATATAATCCTCCTAATAAGATAATTGGGCTAAGCCCCTAATAACGATAAGATAAACTGGGCCACAACTAACTGGGCTAAGCCCCTAATATGCCGGTCATAACACTTATAAATTTCAAATTACCAAGCTACCTACACAGACAATGATTCATTGTACCGGCAAGATATTTGTAATCAAAGATGATCTAATAGCAGGTAGAAAAGTCAAAATGATCATCATAGACCAGACACAAATATGCTCAATTGCAACTGTACACACACTCTGAATGTGAGTATAAGAACAACATGATGCCTTTGTTTCAAGAAAAAGCAGGACCAATATGATGACACCATAGCTCAACTACATAAACTAACCTCAGGGGCCATCCAGAAGACAGTTCCCTTGCTAGATCTTGCTTGGCTCAAAATTGACATCTGCAAATGGCAGATTAGAGAAGAGTCAGCACAAAATGGAGGCAGTGATAAACTGATAAACATCATGCTTAATAGAGTAAGCAATACCTCCTTCGCAAGGCCAAAATCTGCCAACTTGACCAAACCATTTGCATCAACTAGGATATTTGCACATTTAATGTCCCTGGTGATCCAGCAATGAACAGGCTCTCAATGACAACCGAGAAATATAATACAGAAAATATATTACCAAACAACGCGTTTTAGTACTCACCTGTGCAGGACATTTCGCTGATGTAGATAGTTCAAACCATTCAAAATCTGCCTTGTATATGCTGATACTTGAGAATCTTGTAAACAATATTTTTGATATAAAGCTGCCAAAGAGCCTTGGGTCACAAGTTCAAGAAAAATATACAATTTTCCATCTTCCTGCAGAACATCCATCCCACCAGATTTAGTGTAAAGATGTAGAATCAGCAGTTCATATCAGACAAATATAAATTACTCAGAGAAAGTAATGAAAAGCGGTAATAATCACTATTCTGTAATTATTTTACGAGCCATAAGTTACTAGAAAACTACCTTGTCTGTTCCATAATACTGAACAATATTGTCATGCTCCAAACGACTCAAGAGGGATACCTCCTGAAACCAAATGATTCACAACTCAGTTGGCCGTATGACCAACGCAGTGATAACAAACATAATGTTTAAAAAAAACAGTGTGAGCGAAATAATTGCTCAAGCATGTCATAGCACATAACTTACATGCTCAAGCTGGACGATGCGCTGTTTTGCATTGATTCCTTGGTCAAGTAATGACACCTCCTTGACAGCAAAGAAAAACCCATCACTGTAAGAGCAGTGTTAAAATCGGTCAGTAAATTTTTTATTGCAGAGCATGATGAAGTGAAATGTGTAATCTTGACGAAGCAGGAATGTGACAAACTTACTCGCTGATCGCCTCGTAGACTGACCCGAACGATCCGCTCCCGATATGCTCTCCCTTGATCCAGGATGTGATGGTTCTCCTAAACCGCCTATTCGGCGATGGCGAGACCAAATGCTCAATGTCACATGAATTGGACTCTGCAACAACGAGGGCCAGGGCACCAGTAGCCTTCTCCCTTGTGGCCTCCACAACCACTTCTCTTGTCCTCTCCTCTCGTGATGTTTCCACTTTGGCCAATTTGCCATTCCCCTTCCCTTCACCTGCATTCGCCGGCTCAGACACAGCAGTGACCTCTCGTGTAGAGGTTTCCACTCTCTCTGATTCGACCAATATGGCTTTGGATTCAGCCCATGGTCGTTGATATGCTTTTGCTGAAACTTGTATAGTCTCCGATTGGACCAATTCGGTGGCTAACCCAGCTTCCTCCCCGTCGCCGGCTGGCTGCAACCTAGAGGCGACGATGACGTCGCGTCCCGAAATCTCAGGAACCTCCGACGGTGACGCCGCAGGGGCCGACTCCTCGAGCGAGGCGCGGCGGCGGGCGGCGTTGGCGGCGGCGTAGACGGCCGGCGGGATGGCGAAGTCCTCGGGGCCGGAGAGGCCGAGCTGGCGGAAGAGCTCGGCGACCTCCTCCCCGCCGCCGCGGCCGCCGTGGATGCGGAAGCTGGTCTGCGACGCGTACCTGGCCCCGGCGCCAGGGGAGGCGCGGGCCGCGCGGTCGACGCTGAGCTGGATGCGGCCATAGGCCGCGAGGTCGTCGTCCCCGTCGGCGCCGGCGTCCGCGGAGTAGGAGGAGTTCCGCATGGCGTTGGTGCGCGCCAGCTGCCGCGGGCGCGGGCGCTGCGGCGTGCCCATCGGCGGCGGGCTCCGGCGGTGGCTGGCTTGCGTGGCGGACGCGGACCGGGCCGAGCAGAGCAGCGCGAGCAAAAGGGAAGGGAGAGACTGAGACGCGTCCGCAGTGTAGGGGGGCGGGGTTTGACCAGGGCGGGGGTTAGTGCGACGGCGACCCGGCCGTGCCTCTGACTTGTGGGTTCTGTTCGCCGCTCAATTTGTCGGGGAAGGTGGGAGTCGCTGTGGCTGTGCACGCGTGCGTTTACAGCAGCGGCGAGGGGGCCGTGCCGGCGATCGGACCGGCGGTGGGCGTGCCGTGCGTCAACGCGGTGGCGGGAGGGGAGGGGAGGAGCAGGTCGCGCTAGTACCAATTTGCTTCCCTGCGATGCAAGAATGGACGGGCAGCTAGCTGACCACAGAGGACGGAGCACGAGGGGAAGAAGCAAGCCGTTGGGTCAGCGGGAACAGTCGTCAGGAGCATATAGTAATGGCGGTCAAAGATGGATGTTTCGTGAACGACAAAGGTGGGATGTCAAGACGATGGATGGATGCTTCCTCGGCTCGGCGGCGACGGCGACCACGTCTCTCTCTTCGTCGATCGGTCGATGGCGGCCTTCCGTGGCCTACGTACGTGCCACCGCCGGAGACGGCGACCTGCGTGTCGTGTCGCCTGGTGGTGCTGCATCCGCCGATCCCAGCCAGCTGTCGCTCCAGGGCTGAATGTTTGCTTTGTGTACTGTAGTCACTTTACCGGTCGCATCGTCCTCGGATTCAAGGCCATTCTTCACCCGGCCTTTCTTTCCGCACTATTATGGATAGTTAAATAATAAAAAAATTGCAATTGTCAATTGGTCCTATCAAAAGTAGGATTGACTATGAATTTGAGTCATCAAACATGGTTTCATAAAATTTGTATGATTTTTCTGATCTAAATCGAGCAGGTTTTCACGAAGAAGATCAGTCGACTGAAATATCCATCTCATAAACCTCCTCGCCCACCGTTCGATCTCGCGACATCTAATGGCTCTCGCGCGACGCGAGCAGGGGGCCGGTGCTATCGAGCCAGGCTGTCGGGCCCGCTCCCCCCCCCTCCCCCGAGGTCATTGCAACAATTTCTCCTGCATTATCCTTTCTCCTCCCCCAAGCTCGCACCTAACATATCCATGCGACGGTCGTCGCGACGTCCATCTCCCGGGGCGGCAAAGACTGCGCGAGGACGACGAGCGGAGGCGGGGGAGGAGGCAACTCATGCCATGGACGAGGAC